CATTCGACAAAGGGTAGTTGAATACAAAAGTGCCTGCAGAAGCTTTTTAATTCAACAATTAGAGCTGGCTGAAAAAGGCAGAAACTGGACACGAGATTGAATGATCTCAAGTTTCTCGTTTGCTAATTGTGTTATGTCTGCCATCAAGATAGACCGAATAGGGAATATATTGGATGTAAGGAATGCCAGCAAGATGTTAAGTAAAAGCCACTTGTACTTAATTAATAGACTCAAGGACAGAGAGAGTGTTGAGCTGTCTGCAAATAGTAGACTACTCGACCAGTCTTTTCTTGTCTTGGCCCACTCTTTCTCTCTCCCATGAAGACAAAACACATAATCAACATAACTATAAGTGTATTCGACCTTGCGCAATCTGAGTGATGATTAAAATATATGCAGAGAGGGGTTTATGGTGATCATTAAACTTTGATGACCGAGAATATACGTTAATTTTATTGTCCTAATTACTTTGAACCATCGCTACTGGTTTCGTACATATGCGAGCACATATAAGCGCATACACATACAGAGAAATACAAACTTAAATGCTTCGAGGTTGATATATGACTGGAACTAACCAAATAACTTTATACTTCATCAAAAAACTCAGATATAGACTATATATATATATATATATATATACAGCATTTTGGTGATGAGCCGGTTAGTCTTCTTGACTCATTAGTTTGAATATGGTTGTAAGGATGATATTAGGCTCTGATGTTGTTCATCATACGACAGACGAAAGCTTAGCCCGTTTTTATTGGAATCGAAGGTGATTACATCGGATATGGCGTCAACAAGAGTGTTCCAGTAAAGCCAATCGACAACTGGTGAAGACGACTTCGCCGTCGTCTTCTGGTAGGATAGACCTTCGAATCACTTCACCAAAGACTTTTACTCGAAATGGAAGTAAGCTTATCAATTTTCAAACAAGAGATTCCTCAAAACCCAACTTTCTCCGCAGGATAGTCACTCATGGTTCTCTAATAAAGTCACAGAATAATAGCCACTTTCAAGAAAAATCTGTAAAATGCTGGAATTGCAGCCGAATAATTATATAGTGACTTACGGGGCTCGACACTCGGAACTTTGGTTACCGAAGTGGGAATTGCGGGATAGGTATCATTACTCAAAGCTGATTTAGGTTGCTTTTTATCCTGTTTCTCTTGATGAAGCCCTTGCAGCACCCCTAGACGGCCAGCTTCTCCTTGACCCCAGGCATAGAGGGCCAGTACAGAGTCCTTATCAGCCGGAGACTCATTTTGAAGCTTTGCAACAGGCCTCCGATGTACCAGTTTCTGTACCAAACACAACGCGTGATAAGTACCCAAACTGACAAGAAGAGCACGACCGGGAAGACTCACAGGGCCAGGAGTGGTGCTCGAATTTTGGCTGTCGGACAATGTTGGCCGGCCAAGCTGGCCATCGGAATTTGAGCCCCAGGTGAACAATGTGCCATCGTCTAAAAATAAGGTTGCTAATTTAACTACAAATAGACAGTAATTTCCAAGTAAACTCAACAAGAAGATATATAACATCAACACATTGTGAGTGATATATGATAAATCTTTCTTCAAAAAACCTACTTATTTTATGAGTTGAAGGAAAGAATACATCTTTAAAATGGTTAAAAAGGAAACAGTTTTCTTATAGTAAGGTGACTCAAATTAAATAGCAAATCTCGAAACCACAAGCCGTAACTTTATACATAAATTAAATAAATTAGAAGTTAAATGTATAAGCAAATGCATATACAGAATATAGTAATAGGCAAAAGATAAGTAATTGTTGATAGAATGTCCCGCCTTTACCTAGTACGTGTATGATACTTTCTGTTAAGCCCATTCACCATATTCGTCAAATTAATTGTAAAGACCAACGAAAATTAATTGACATTTGTAATCTTGCTCTTCCAATTACATTTGCAAACTGAGTTTGAAGGACAAAAATTTGATAAGTGAATGTGGAGCAAAAGGTGTTAATTAGGATACAAAATGTGGATGATAGTTATGCAGAGTAATGAAAACAATTTCGCCTTTAATGCATCCTAAATTTAAAAGACAAGTAAATATTTTTACGCCTTGCCAAAAATTTAGTGAATACTTCTTCTACTGAGTAGGAAACTAGTCAAAACTTACAAAACTTATCTTATACTATAAATCATCATATAAAAATTATCTAAAGAAATATAAAAGCATGCTTTTAAGCGAATACCAGGTCAAGACAGCATTGCAACAGGGACTGCTAGATTAATTTGAAGATTTTTTCCTTATTCGATGGATATGATTGTCGATATAAGTAGGTTTCGAGACTATTACTAATTCTTTAATAATACCTAATCACCTTATGTTGCTTGGGGTGAGTTAAGGAATGATAGTTGAGTTTTTTCATTATTCCAATAAATTTCAAAGAGACTTGTCTCCTAAGAGAATATGCGAAGAAAAGTTGGATTTCGAATATTCACTTCGTTTTTAATCAATGGGCCAACCTTAGCTTAAATCAATACCCAGGTACGATTTAAAAGGTAAATCTGAGTAAAAGCTCAATCTTAAGACTACTCAATCTATCCATGATCAGCACATACTTCGCCTACAAAGATAATTTTTATGAATAAGTGGAATAACTGACAATATGATCCTGTTTGGTTCCCATTTTAGCGAATAATTGCATAGCAAGAATGG